TTGCATGTCTGCTACACCTTCCTATCAGAGGGGGGTTACTTAACCACTCCCGGATTACTCGTGTTGAAGAGATTGAGTGGATGGTCAAGTATCTGGGAGCTTATCCGAAAAAGGCATTTGAACAATGTGACTCAACTAATGGGGCTTATGCCAAGTTCTCATTCTTGGTCGAACTATATGGAGAGCACTTAGATGCGGCCGCAACTTTCGAGAGTGAGGATAATGAGTTCTTTGTTCAATACCACCGCGAGTGTGCTTTGCGATGTTACTTTTTGTTCTTGGTTGGCACGTCCATTTTTGTGGACAAAAGTGAAAGCTATGTGGATGTGGCATATCTCCAGTACTTCATGGATTTGGATACAAATGAAGAGTGGAATTGAGGGGGCTGATTGTTTGGTATACTTATACCAAAAGCTGAATGAAGCTTCTAATTGAAGGACGAGGTAGCTGGCAGGATCTTACACACTGCTCATGGTACCTTTCATTCCAACTATTACATTTAATTTTCTATTAATAATTTTTTCTTACATATCTCTTACTCATTTTTAAGGATAGATCATTTCTCACTTCTACCACATTCATGGTTTCGATTATGAGTCGGATTATACTGAGGACATACCGATGACTGTCAGGTATAGCCTCAATAGAGGGAATCACGTTGTGCCTCCATTTTGGGGGTAACTTGATAGGATTGTTCATGAGGACATCATTTGGATGCCTTTTAAGGATCACAGGGAGATTGTCCCATTCGACTCCATCTCATTATACTCAGAGTGGCTTACATGTGGGACCAACACTATGGTCAGGTATCTTCCGAAGTGATGCATCCGACAATTTGGCTATGTGTAGACCATATCTAGATCTCCCTTTCAGGTTGCTCCTGACACCATTGTCCTCTGGAAGCTCGATGGAATCTTCCAGGATTGGGAGAATCATATGGTGCCAAAGGAGGCTCGGATGATGCAGGCATCCAGCAATTGGAATTGTGTAGAGGGATACGTCACATGGTTCTACACAGTGTCACACTCTATTACGACACTGGATGCTCCTAGACGTCCACCTAGGCCATCTTATAAGGAGATCTTGGAGAACCAGCAGGCCCAAGATGACCATGCCACTGATGTCTTGTCAATCTATCAGTAGATATAACTGATTGGACAGGAGGCTATAGACTTAGGGCTCATCGAGAGGGGCGGTCTTGAGGTAGAGGCCACCGTAGAGAGAATGGTTATGAAGGTATCTCTTGCAGCGGGTTAGAGGAAGCAGAAGAGGAGTCAGAGGGTTAGAATTAGACATACACAGTAGACTATGCCTTTCTTTTATTTACTGATGTATTTATTTTACATTCCATACTTTCTAAATAATTTATGTACTAATTTCCGGTATTTATGAACAATTTATGTTCGTACCATTTTCTGTCTTTGGTATTTCGGTATTATTTAAACGAATTACGTATCAAATATTTGACATTTATTAGGTACCACATCGATGTTTTTTTAAAAAACTATGCTGTAAAAACATTCTGCCTAGGGTTTCGGAGATGTATATCCCAACGAACCCTTAAATCAATTTTCAAGGTGTTTCGGATATGCATATCCGAATATATTATTGAATGGTGTGTAAATTATAATAACGCGTAAAAAAAAGTTTTCGAATATGCATCTCCGAAGAATATATTGGGGTTTTCAAAGGTTTTTTCACACATATAAGGGTGTACTAAGAAACCCTCTTTCTTTTATTATTTGTATGCTTTTTCATAAACTCTTGGTAAAAATCTATTTTTTTTAGATTGCAGAGATGTATCCTCGAACACACTCATTCATCATTATACTTAATTTTAGTTCAGAAATGCATTTCAGAAATTATGTTTGATATGCTTTGGAGATGTATATCCAAAAATAACTTTGATACTTCAAAAAAAAAATAGAGAAAGTAAAGATATCATTAGATAATCAGAAATTTAGCATTGATAATCAAACAATTTGACATTAAATTAAAACACTCAACATTATATAGACAATTGATAATCGAAAGATTACCATTAAATACCATTATAAACGGGTAGTTCAAGACGTTGCAACATGTTCAATCCCACCTGAGATACGTTTCCAACCAATTGAGAATATAGGGTGTTGTCTTTGAATATGTGCTATAACATGGTATGCTCCGACCTAAAGTTGTTTGTATTTCATTATGTTGGTTTTGGATCATTTGGTTCACAATGTCTCACTCTCTAAAACAATCACTCTTACTATCACCCAACCATTTCTTTAGTGTCGAATATGCAAATTCAACTCAGTTAGTTGTTATGTTGATGATGTGTCTAACCAGATCGATCCAAGTACAAATAATCTTCTCCTTCACTTGGTCCAGAATAGTACTCTCAACGTATTTCAAGAAATTTGGATATCTGAAAGTCACACTCCTAAAGTGCATTACAAAGGCAATATACAAGTCTTTCATGTATGAATTTAATATACCAATCCATGTATCCATTATCTTTTTCAACACCACACCATGTTTGACATTTTTTCATCTCCACCCTTGATTTTTTTGGTGCCTACCGCGAGTTTGAGTCGACTTCTCACACTTTTTATGTCATATCGACAAAATAATGCGTAAGATGTAGGAAATACCTTGACAACCGAATTCATCAGTGTGATAACTCGATCTGTGACAATTACCTTTGACAATTTTCTTGGTCCTTCAATAAGGTCTTGCATATTTCCAATGCCCATGTAACATTGTCCTCTTTTTCAGATTCCAAAAATGCAAATCCCACTGAAAAGTCTTTGTTGTAAAAGTAACAAACAATTTCCAGAAGCGGAAGCCTATACTTGTTTATCTTATACGTAGAATAAATTATGAGGACAGTGGCAAATGTCTTGAACAACTTGATACTTTCGGGATGAGTCCAAATTATGTCACGAACAGTGACTTTATCCTCACTAACTCTGTACCTAGAAACATAGTGATTGTCATCCAAAAGCTTCAAAAGTTGTGGCATTTCGGACCTTGGACCTCTTATCGCCATGTTGTTTCAATAACGCGCGGTGTATACCTGCTTGATTTTGAAACACTTTCAGGTCTTTTCCGTTTCAAATATGCAAGTGTGTTTTTAGGCGTCACGCTGATTAAAGACGTCTTCAAAACTATTTCCTTCTCCTTCGATTTAAGGTGACATATGATGAAATGACCGACTAGCTCGGTTTGCGAGGCATGATTATGTAAACCATAAATCACATTAAATTTTCATGTATCTTCAACCTTACGGTATATGTGCAATTTAAACAGGTACTCACATTTTCTTGATCTGGTGCCAACACGTTTCAACTTCTAAATCGGTGGAACGTATGTGCCACATCTCTCACATCTCATGGTTACAAATGATTTCCTTCGGTTAGAACCATTGTCGGACCTTTTGATTACAATGTCAAACCCCAATTTCTCGGCCACCATACAGACCCATTCAAGCATATGTCCATGAGGAATAAATTATTGTTCATTTGTAAATTGTTGACAACATCTATCTCGACATCAACCGGTCTAACATCATCATTCACTTCAACCGGTTTAACATCATTCTTCACTTCATTAGACTTATATCATTACTTACAGCAACTTTGAGAAACATATATAGGTGCACCATATTTAATTCGAACCAAAACATAAAAACATTTAAAAATAATCACAGTAACAGACAAATTCGAAGATGCATCTCCGAAATATATAGCAGGTGAATTTGGAGATGCATTTTGGGACTCGATGTTCATTTTTTCAACTAAAAAACAAGATCAATGCATGCAATGAGGTATGAAATGAATAAACTTTACCTTAAGTTGCAACTTCTTTTGCTCTCTTTGCTGTGATAAAACACAAGAATGATGATTTGGAGTCGAAAGTTGATTGAGAATGAATATTTTTAAGGGTTTTGGGTTATGGAGGAGGTTGGAAGCATGAGAGTGATGATCATGCAAGGCGGTGATATATTCAATCTTCCGCTTGACATTTTCGGAGATGCATCTCCAAAAATTTCATTGAATGATTAAATGCTAAATCCCAATGAAAAACACTTGGAAAATAGATTCATGTGTATTTTCAAAGATACATCTCTAAATACATCCCATAAATATTCTGCGACTCAAATTTTGACAAAAATGATTTATGGTGCATTAGAAATGCATCTCAAAAAATTTTTTAGGACAATTTTAGATTTTCGAAGATGAGTCACACCATAAGGATGAGAAAAGAAATTACTTTTTTTTTACCCTCCATTTTTTTGTATGACATACCAAAAGTTTAAACCCGTCCTCTAATATGTTTGTCATGCCTCAATTAATTTTTTATCGATTTTTGCGAATGCAGATATTAACATATTTTTTTACATTTTTAAACTTAAAAAGTACCAAAATTTTAACTCCACTCCTTCAACTACGCTCGTCGGTCGGCCTCGTTTTTTTAGAATTTTTGTAGAGTAGATCTAAACCGAGCACACATGCCTGTTTGGCACTCCTAATTCTAATAATCACTCTAAATCATTCCAATAATCACTCTAAATCTGGAGACAATATTATTTAAGTTCTATTAAAAAAGAGTTTTACCTCATTTTGATCATGTTGTCTTGAGAAATAGTCTCTACACTAGTGCATCCAAAAAACCTGATTTCTATTTTAAAAAAATAAAAGACTAGAAGGGTAGATAAATCATCATAAGATTCAATTTATAAAAATAGACAACATCAAATGATTAAAATACCAAGTAATCTGAAGAGATGATGAACTATACAACAATAGTAATAATAACCCACCAGCAATAATCATTCATATAACTATTATATCATAATGGATTTGTATGCATAATCTTCTCTTATCTCTCTATACACCAAAATGAAATGCAAAAGAGATAACATTTTTCTTTTATGACATAATCTTCATATTATTTTGAAGAATACCATATTGCCTCCATAATTTTGTCAAACTTACTGTGAATCTAAACAAGCACTAAAATGAGGCAGCTTCTTTTGCTTGGTGGTGGTGTCGCTTTCCACGGCGGTGCCTTCCATTACCGAATGTAACCGGATCGGATTTTATCAGTCTTTCAGCTTCTCGCGAATCAATCACACACTCCGGTAGAGGCACTTTGTATCTGGTTTTGTCATAACAGTAAGAATATGTCATGTGCTTTAACCTAAAGTTGTCCATTTTGTTTCTTTCTACTTGTGTTACATCAGAAGGAACTGTTTCGGAAGTTTGAACACTGTCACAGTTAGTCACATGTTCAATAGGATCAACTGCACAACCATGTAGGACAAAGTCAGAGAATTCAGCAATGTAAGGTGCATATTTGTAGTTTACTTTGTATTTTCCTCCATTGGTAGCCCATGTAGATGCATCCCATATGGTTGAATATAATGTCATTGGTTTTGATGGGAAATCTCCTCCCATTGATGCTGTTTTCTTTATTTCTCTTATAGGAACATCATCTACATAAAATCTGCAAAAGTAAAAAAATTAGGCTACATAAAATTATCAAATTTAACATTAGCAAGTAACATACTATATGTAAATCAACAATAATATCCTCCTATCTCCCATTTTTATATATAGGAAATAGATTCATTGCGGTCATCACTCACGAGTTCTCTTAGTTGTGAAAGAGCTGTGAAAGACAGTCCATATATTTAAAGTACAATTCAAAATACGGGCTGTCTGATTTTCATCTAACATTTGAGATTTGCGATTGAAGTGACATTACTTATAAGAATGCAAGTCATTATATGGGCCGTCTGATTTTCATCTAATGTTTGATTTGCGACTGAAGTGACCTGACTTATAAGAATCCAAGCCATTATACGGGCCGTCTAATTTTCATCTAACATGTGAGTGAGATCTACTTTCATATTAAAAGGTAAATGTCAATGGTTAATTTGGTCGGGAGAGGAAGAATCATCGAACCCTAAAACTTCTTAAAACTCCTTTGGTGTCTCAAACTTTAGTACTAAACTACACCTTCAAGAACGCTTATGGGACCTACTTGATAACTACGTTTTTTTTTTAGTCTGTGAATAAATGGGATGTCGCAAGTCAAACACACACCCTGCAATTGAATGTCCTTGCGCATCTATCATCTATCAACTGACCTGACTTAACTGACTGGTTGAACGAGAATAAATATTGATTCCTAATTGAAGAACTTAGGTAGACAAAAATAGTTCTCCAACTACTAAATTTTATAAGGATTCCAATATCTAAGAATTTATCCAATGGTCACATGTCACCAACTTTATATCTTGTGGGTTCCTCCTCTTAAGGAAAACATACAATTTAATACATAGTTCTGATGACACAAACTTTTTACACATTCTGAGTAAACCATCAATGCACAGAATTGTACATAGTAATAGTCCCACTAAAAGCAAAAACCAGTTTTCACAAAACTATGGATGTACTATAAAGTAAAGGAAGAAAACCAAACACATCTTTGAACAAAAAGTCATCAAACTACTAAATACAACCAAGAAAATGCTTCAACATAAAAGGCAATAAAACAACTCAAAAGAAACTTTTTCTATAAAAAGTAAAATATAAATCCAAAAGGGTTATATGAAATAATCAAAAAAATCAAAAAAATCAAAAATAGCATTTAAAATTTTATAGATTAGATTTTGCTTACATGATCTTAGTATCTGTCCATAGAATACTATACTGATGAAAATCCTCAGAAGGATCAAACCATAAACCATATCTTTCTTCTCTTCCAATGTGTGTACTTCCATTTCCATAAACATTGGTTTGAACCCTCCAATCTTTGCCTCTTATATGTCCCAAGAATTCAAAGTCTATCTCATCATGATTCTTCTCATACATATCACCATTTGATAACTACACCATAAATAAATTAAAATTAAAATTTGATGAATAATTTAAATTACTTTTCTTCTTTTTTTCTTCGTAATTTCAAACAAAGCAAGAAACTTTTGCAGGAAAAAAGGGTCAAAAGCAGAAAACTTAATAATGATAATTAATTTTTTTGTCATTCAAAGTCATAACATAAAGTTTACATTTACAACCAAGCTTTTAAATCTTCAACTTGACTAAGAAGTTTAAATAAAAAATTGCACACTTTAAAAATATAATAATTAAAATAAAATAAAAAAATTTAATATTAACATTAATATAAAAAAAACATAATAAAAATCAGAATAGAACAAAAGAAATATAAAAAAAAAAAAAAAATCAAAAAAGGAAAAAAAAAGTTTTACTCACATAGAATGCAACAACAACTCCAGCAGTGTAATCAGAAGGTAATTTAATGGAAGCACTGAAATACCCGTGAAGGTAAATATCATGAGTAGCAAATCCAGACCCTGAAAAAAGAAAGAAAAAAAACAGAAAATTAAATTTAAAAAAAAAAGATTTTTTAATTATTAACAATAATAATAATAATTGAAAATTGGAGAATTTTGGAGAAGAACCTGAAGACTCATCAAGAGAGAGATGAACAGTTTTGGAATCAGAATGAATGATCAAGTTATGGTCTCCAAACAAAGGTGAATAGCCTTCATCAAAGGGTATAACAGGAAAATTTCTGGATGAAGAAGAAAGAACAAGAAAGAGAAAAGAATGGAACAAGAAGATGAAAAAGAACAACTTCATGTGACTCGTTCTCATGTTTATTTGTGAAATACTGTGATTTTTGTTTTTGAGGGTGAAGAAAATTATAAAATAAAATAAATAAGAATGAAGAGAGAAGAGAAAGTGAAGAAGGAGAAGAAGAAGAGAAATGAAAAGGAATTTATAGAGAAGTTTTTGGGATGTGTTCTATGTTGTGGAGCGGTTCTTATGCACACAATTTTTTATTGTATTTATTATTATTATTTTGGTTATATATATATATATATATATATATATATATATATATATATATATATATATATATATATATATTATTTAAAATTTTTGACTTGATATAATTATTACTTTTTTTTGAAAGTTTTTCAAAAAATATTTCAAAAAAGTTTCTTTGAATCAATTATGTAAAAGAAAATTATGTATGCATGGCTTGGTCACTATTTGATTTTCTAAAAAGTAATATTTAATAATTTAGTGTATGGTAGTAAGATTTGAAAATTGACAATTTTTTTTTTTTACTTTTACGAGTTTAATCGATATACACCTTCGATTTAAAGAAATTTTATATAATTATAATTTTATATAATCGTTTAATAAGAAATTATCGGTCGTCAAATCATCTAATAGCATATTTAGATTGATTTTTGAAAGATTTAAAATCAATTTTAGAAATATAGAATTGATTCTGGTTCATTTTGAAATATCTGTTTTATCAAAAATAAAATTGATTATGTCTTCAAAATAAAATTAATTCTACTTGAAATTAAAATTTGTAATTTCTGCCTCCAGAATTGATTCTGAGAAATTTTTATATTGAAATATGTTTTTCAATTCACTTCTATATAAATGTATCCGAATATAAATCAATCTGTTAAATTCAATTTTATAAAAATTAATTTTATCAAACTCAATTCTAATAAAATCAATTATGTCTATCGTCAATCAAAACACACACCATAAATAGTTTTAAAATAGACAAAAACTTAAATACAAATCCTTAGATGTATTTTTTATTATTTTATAATAAAAATATGACAATTATATAATTTTCTTTTACATCTATATAATTTATTTAAATATATTTATCTTATTTTTATTAAAAAATAGTAAAAATCATACTTAAAAAATTATATATAAATTTTTTGTTTAAAATATCTGTATGATTTAGATTTCAGTTATTTTTATGTCAGCATTATCAGTGTATTTTCTATTTTTTTCTTCTTATTTTATTTATAATTTAAATTTTTTAAAATAATCCGTTCAAGTTATTAATCACTTGAAGTCAATTATTTAATGTAAATTTGAATTTAAAATTTATTACTAATTAGTTTTAAATTAAAACTTAGTAAATAATTTGAAGTGAATAATTTAGTTTAGTGTTAATGTTTAATCAAAATTCGCATATTTGATTTTTTTTTCTCGTTATGGTTTTAAATTTTACTTGTATGAAAATATTTATATTTATTTATATTTATCAATAATGCATCTCTCATTAAACACATTAAATTGATCTGTAAAAAATTAAATACATTAATGAATAGGTAATAGGAGTTATCGAATAATATTGATTAAAATGGTTTTAGATATAGACCACCTAACATTTATATTAATATATCAAATTCTTGAAAAATACTTTTTTATTAAGTATATAACAAGTGGGTATAGGTATGGATAGAAGTACGGGTATTTTATTATCCATCCATCCATCCACACAATGTATATATCTGTATAGTTTAATTTATATTTTCATGTAAAAATGTGTTTATATTTTTTAAAAATTACATCACAATTAATCTATTATATATTTTAATATAAGTGTTAATTTATTTTATAATTCAATAATAAAAAAATTTAATTTTTTTTGTTAATTTTGTTAAAAATTAAAATAATATGATATTTTTCAATTGATTGATTTATTTTTACTAAAATCACTACTAATGAATACACATAAGGGTACTTATATATCCATAGAATACGCGTATAAATATAAAGGTTGATGCCCACACGAGTATATGTTTAGGTACGATGATTTTTTAAACTGCGGATATGAAAATGAGTATTATAGTACTCTATATATTTTCTATCTAAATTGTTTGTAGACTTAAATGAGTCGAGTTTAAACTTAAATATTTTTAGATCAAACTCGAATCAAATTTTGAATTCAACCAATTTTTATCGAGTCGAGCTCATCGAATCTAGTTGAAATAAATTCGACTCAACTCGATTCAATTTCTACTTATATCTGAGAAACACTGCGACTCTGACAAACCTAACTCTAATAGAATTATAAATTAGGGTATCATAGTGTATAGTTATATAAATATTTGATATTATTATTTTACATTTTTGTATTTGCTACATACTTAACAATGATATTTTTAATTAATTTTAATATGTATAAATTAAATAAATAAATAGAATATGTTGAAATAATCTAAAAGTAATTAAGTACATTTAAATGATTTAAAAAATCATTGACATTACTGAATAGTCAATTAAAATTATAAAAGAATTATGAGTAAATAAATAATTTTATTATATAATAGATGATCTAAATAAATATATTGTATGTAACTGATAAAAAGATAGTTGCATTAAAACTTTTTATTTAAAAAGATTAAAAAAATTATTTTTTTATTTTTAATATATATATATTTTGAATTTAGTTTTTTATATCATATTAAAAATTAATTTTGTACTTTTTAAATTACATTTTTTACTAAATTTTTTTACTCTACTTTATTGATTTCTAATTCATGTCAAATTAATGTAAATATTTGAATTAGAAATGTAATATGATAAATTTTATAATTAATTTATCATATTTTATTGTTTCATAGAATTCTTAATTAAGATTGAAAATAATACAATTATGTTATTGGGTCTTCTATCTTACGATGAAACGCGTCTTAAATATTTGAGTAAGTTTAATTTTAGAGTAAAGATTTGTTTTGTTTCCTCATAAAAAATATACAATCCAATTTAATTTCTAAAAAATAAATTATATTTAATCTATTATAAAATTTAATCGGATCATATTAGTCTTTATGTAATTTTTTTTTAAAATTGGTTTTTTTCTACTTTTAAATCGTGACTGAATTGTCATGTGTATTATTCATGTCACATGCATTTTTTAATAATTACTTAGACAATCACGTTAGATTTTATTTTTTATTTTCATTTTTTAATACACATGGCAGTCGAGTCACAATTTAAAAGTAGGAAAAAATTTAGTTTGAGAAAAATATTAACAGAAGGAGCCCGGTTGAATTTTGTAAGGATTAAATAGGGTTTATCATTTCCCAAGAGAATAATTTGGGTTTCGTAGTTTTTGTGAGAGATCAAATGGATCTTTGAAGGTTCAAAGAAACACAAGAAAAATAGGGATTTGAATTGGGTTTTTAGATTTAATGTTTTTTCGTTAACCCAAAGACAAATAGCACAAGATTAACAATGATAAAGAACTCAAGTATTTTCTCTCGGTTCACCATTAACTAGGATACCTCCAGTCCACCCACCAAGATGATTTCACCTTATCAATAAGGACTTAATCCATTAATAAAAAACTTTGATTACAATCACAAAGATCACATTCAATGTCTTCTCAAGAACTATGACTATACCCTAGTCCTTCAAGGAAATACAACTGAAAGACAATATGTCAACGACTTCTCAAGTAATTTGACTATACCCTAGTCATTTAAGGAATTTAACCAACTGGATAAGATTATAAGGTTTGTGTTTACAAAGTGCTTCTAATAAAATCGATACACATAATTTCAATATAACAAGATTTACAAAGAATGAATGATATAAAAATTTCAAGATAACAACGACTTTCTTCTTTGTATAGATTCTAAACTTTTACTTCTTAGTGCTCTTCACTTGATTTTTCTAACTTAGTCATTTTTCCATTACTTCAAGGGCTCTTTTATATAGATGAAGAATATATTTGTTGGAGGGTGAAGTTGGAATTTCTAAACTCATAGCTATATGAAGTCGTTTGATGCATAATAGTAGAGTGTCACTTGAAGCATAATGAAAGGAAGGATGAGATGTATTGAAAACATTGGTACTGAAGTACAATCCTTTTTGCAGAGTGGTGTAGAGGATATATCATTTTGTAATATTATAATATTTTATACTATCTTCCTTCAGTGATAATTTCTTAAGTCAGAGGCTTTTGAATATAAGTTATTGAAGCTTGATCAGAGATCAGAGTCATTATTTTTCTTCATAGCTAACTTCTTGAGTCACAGGCTTCTGATAAAGTTAGATGAAGCTTGGTCAGAGGTCAGGGTATGTCTTCAGAGCTTTGAGCACGTTGAGACTTTAGAGTCTTGAATTATCAGAGTCAATCTAGATAATATTCTTTCAAGAGTTGACTATATGTTTTCAGATGCATATTTTCTGTTGTAAACACATCTTTGTATTCTCCACTGATTCAGAGTGTGTTTGTTGTCCATATTTTAGAGTTGCTTGTTCAGAGTCCAGATCTTCACTTATCTAGAGTCCACGACTTGCTAGCTCAGAATCTAGAGTCTAAATAATCTGCATGTAACATCCCACTTCTACCCGACAATTATTATAAAAATTAGAGTTACAAAATTTCCAACAACCGAATCAGGATGATACAAATTTGACTTTAAAACAACGACATTCATTGCAGATGCATAACATATTAAACTAGAATGAAGCAACAGTAACATATTTTAATCTTTTAAACCAGCAACTGTCATAACTACGCAGCAGAATCAAATATTCAACAAAAAAATATAACATCTTTATCCAACTGAAACAATTTCAAATAACAGGTATTTAATGAACAACAACTTAAAGTTCAATCAACTGAATTAATAACAATAAAACAGCAAGCGTATGCAGGGAAGAAAAAAACGCAGAATATTGCAGGGAAGAAAAAAATGAAGAATTAGGCAAATTGATATCAGGTGCTGCTGTATTAGAACAATGAATTAATTTAGGGATAGAGTTAGTCATATTGTTCTTAGTTAGGTTGATATCAGGCTAATAATTAAAAT